TTAATGGAAAACTCTTAGCTCAGATGGAGATCAATGATTCAACCAGGGTAAATCTAAATGCAAACAAACATGTGTTGTGTCTCGCCTTTATTTATTAAAATAGAATGAATTTATTTGGCATCTAGTTTAATGGAAATTGTATATGTAAAATTGCCACTTCCTGGTTAACTCATATTCAAACACAGCTTCTCTTGTCTCTATCTCCAAATGCAAAAATACACTTGAGCTTTTCCAGAATAAATAAGAACAAGTTGTTTATGATTCCACATGATTCCTGGAACTTTTGTTTGGAATCAGATTTCAGTGGGAAATAGGTCTTTAAAACAAAATACTCTGAAAAGTGTTCATTCTTCATTTATTAGCCAAGACATGAATTTGTGCCTTCAGGGTTCTGCTCTGTCACTAGCACTTGAAGCAGCTTGTGGAGTGCCGATTGCTGCTCTTCTTTAGGTGTTAGTGATGGCACCGAGTATTATAGGACAAACATCGAAATGTTATATGCTGAACCCAAGTCTTGGCACATTCAGTTAAAAGCTTTTTGGTTATATATCATGTTTAAAACCACATGGATGTTTTATTTAAGATTTGGAGATGCTAAATTTGTTGGTTTAGTTTTTGACTGGGGAGAAAGAGGAAGCCTTTTTCTTCAAAGTGGGCAGAGCAAAAGAAATGCTTGTAAGTTGATTAAATTTTTGTTAGATTGACCCATTTCCATAAAAGCTAACTGTGTGCTTGGGTTTTGTCTTTGTCCCCCGAAGGCCATCCTCCTGAGCAGCGATGGGCAAAACCTGGTGACAGGGGGAGACAACGGTGTAGTGGAAGTATGGCAGGCCTGTGACTTCAAGCAACTCTATATTTACCCTGGCTGTGATGCTGGCATAAGAGCTATGGATCTGTCTCATGATCAGAGGTGAGTTTGTCATTAACGTTTGTATGTAAATGGTAACATTGCACAAAGTATACATCGCTATGAACTTTATAAGGAATGAATTTATGGTATGCAGTTGTTAACAGGGTATGGCACAAATCCATTACCCCAGTTGTCATCTTCTTGATTTATCTGGCTCAGTATTTTCTCTGATCCTTGAGTTTCATACTGCACACGCTTAACATTAAGGTGAGATCTTATATTATCAAAGTCAGTAAGCCAAAGATTCAGATAGCAAAATATGAGTAAAATTACATTAATTTAAGGACAGAGAAATAGACTGGTTCAGAGTGCATTAGGGCCTATTAGCCAGTGCCTTAATTGCAAAAGTTTGTGATAGGTTTCTGATTTTCAGCTATGTAGAGCTTGAGAATGCCTTAGGGTTGCATCTAGACCATAATGTGTACTAGTATCGGTGGATCTATCTGTCCATCAGGACTGAGTGCGGTCCTTTCCTTTGACCTTCTTGAGCAATGGGGATGCAGTGTACAAGCCTAGATTATTGTTTTCACTGCTGTGTCACTGAAATACACACTGTAAATGTAGAAGATAAATGAACCTGGTCCCTCAGTCTTCTCTTCTAATGTGATTATAATGTAAGCCTATATGTTGCATTTATGTGGGGTTATGAGTGGATGTGCTGTTTACATCATGCATCAGTCTTGTATTTCCTGTTAATATACAAACTCATGACATGCAAAGAATTAATAGGATATTAGAAAATTCATACAGCATTCATTTCAGTTTATTTTTCTTACACTTTTCAGCATTCCTATGCTATGTACCCATTTTGTAAAGCAACTCAAACATCCATAAACAAAATATGTTCCCAATTTACTCATGTATGAGTAAATGAGCTGAAACAAGTTTTTTGTCTCAAACTTGGTCTAATTGAAACTAAGTTACTGGAAGAGGCCGATTTGCTCCTGGAGCTTTGCCAGTTTATGCGTACAGTACTGTGCTCTGTTCAAAGAGATTTATTTACACTGCAAAAAATATCGTGCTAGCCTATTTTGCCTATCCCTTATTGTAACGCCAGGCTGGGCAGCCGCAGCTGTGCAAAGTGCTTTAAGAACCTGCTTAGATTTAGTCACATATTTAACCAGACAGTGGCTTTTGTATGGTTTGATAGAAGTGGGGATAGATACCTAATCCAATTTTAAAACTCAGCTCCCGGAAGTAGAGGATATGTGATAACTGGAAAATCATCCCAACTACTGCCACCAGAACCACATAAATATGAGGCTATATTTCGATATGAAGCTTTTTAGAAGTACCATGGTGTGATCAGCTTATGATTAAGGGACCAGTTCAGCTGTCTTTGCAGAGGCATCTCATGCTGTCTGGGAGGCCCTAGGATATCCAGCTGATCCCAGCTGCAGCCCCAAGTGCAGAGCACTCCACAGGTCCTGTGTCCCAGCTGCCAGCCAGCATAGACATGTCAGCCATCCTGGGCCACCTCCAGTGGCATGACGTACCTAAAATTAGGCAGCTGGGTTTTGAACCACCTGAATCAAAGTGTTTTGCCATAGGTGTCTTCATATGAGCTACAGGAATAAGCTCTTGTAATAACTGTGGCTATTTATTTGCTACAGCCTGTGGAGTCTAGGGGACAATTAAGCTCACCCTAAAGTACACGCCTAGTGACCTGCAGAGAGGTGGTCTCAGGCTGCACCGTGTACTCATTAGGGCCTAATGTGATTGCTTACCCATAGCCTGTTAGTACTGTTTGAGATACCTCGAAGGTCGGGGGTACGTACCTGGGGTGGCTTATATGGCAAATGACCTAGTGAAGACCCCCGTCCTTCTGGAGACGCTGCTGGAGGCAAGGCAGGATACATGAGTGCATCTTGAATGGTATGATGCTTTAACCTATGCAAAGATAACTGAATCGACCTCTAGGTCTCCCTTGACCATAATGGGAACATGGAAATTTGGCTTATATGTTGACACCTAAATGTAGCATCTCCATCAAGATCTGAATCGCACCCATAAGCTTAATCTTCAGATACTGTTGCAAAATGTGCCTTGTTTTTTTTTATTATTTTTTTTAACTGTTTATGGTAAACCGTTGCTCGAGAAGGTAAAAGAGCATTAACAGGACCATCTTGTCCATCTTTTTCAGAACTCTGATTACTGGCATGGCTTCTGGCAGCATTGTAGCATTTAATATAGATTTTAACCGGTGGCATTATGAACATCAGAACAGATACTGAAGCGGAACGAAGAACTGAAAGCCCAGGTAAAGCTGAGAGCACAAGTGCTGCAATGAAAGGTGTAGTCTCTGGTGGAAAACCACGTCTGCATTGACCTCCGTTGTACATTCCATTACACCCAGCAATAGCTGTACATTGTAGTCAGCAACCATTTTACTTTGTGTGTTTTTTCACAACTGAACACCAGCTGCTGAAAAGCAAGCTTGTATCATGTAAATTATATGAATTAGGAGATGTTTTGGTAATTATTTCATATATCTTTGTTTATTGAGAAAAAGGTAGTAGGATGCGCCACAAGAGACTTTTGAAAATTCCGGGGAACCTTGTGTCCAGTTGTTTCAATGTTTAGGCTTTAAACCTAACATGCATCCCATCTCCAGCCTCTTTTCAAGCTGAGATTAAAAAAAAAAAAATACGTTTGATACTTTGTACATCAGATGCACATCTTAACTTTAAAGGGATACTTTTGTAAAAGTAAAACCTTGTATAAAGAACAAAACTGTTTCTTAATTTTATTGTGGAGTTACAACTTGCATGTACTTTAAACCTGATGTCTTGAAGGAACAGGTGCATTCACACAAATCAAACTGGAGATCTGTCTAAGGGTACAGCTTGCGTTAAAGGGTTGAATTTGGGCGCAAACAGTAATTTTGACATTTCCACCAACCTGTGTTTTTCACTTTTTGAATCTAAACTTTACCCATCTTAAGTGGAGTTCTGGTCATGAAGCATTTGGATAAAAAGCCATCATTTGCCATGTTTATACTTTCTACAATAGAAATTATATTCCTCCCTTTTAAATTCAAAGACTAGACAGAAAGGGAGCAAAGAGGGAAGTTCAGTTTAATGCTTTGTAATGCTTAATGACTCCCAATACAGACAAAGTGCTATACTTCTGGATTGTTAACATTTGGCATACAAATCATGGGCAAGAGAACCCCCAGTGATTTTTTTCCCTTATTTTTCCTCTGAGCAGCTTGGTTTATTTGACAGCCTTAGCTTCATTGTAGAGGTGAGTGAGGTTATTCTTTTTGGTTCATCTGAAAATCTCACCCGAAACCACTCAGACTAAGGCACTTCATGTTTTACAATACTGCAATGATAACTCGGAATAATTTTCTGCACATTGTACTGATCAAATTACACACCCAGGGGTATATACACTTTAATTCATGTTTCTTCTTTGTATATTTGGTGACTGTATTGTCATAGATGTACATATTGTGTCGGTAGGGCTATGAGGCATGTAACAGGAATGTAATTTTCTCAGAATTTACACTCACTTGCAGTCATTTATTTAAAAAGATAATGGATTCTTTGTATTGGCACTTTGCACCAGAAACATATCATTATTTATTGATGTGATTACTTATTTGTTATCCACCTTGTATTAGTAAGTTTAGCACTGAATTTCCTTCTTCATGGTTGTTTGTATTTATGATTCGGAAATCATGGGGATCAACCTAATGATTAAGTTATTCATCACCCGTCTGTAAGCAATATCTTGAGTTCGTAGCTTAGAATTGGGAGACTATTGAACATCTGGAAGACAAGTTCATTTCATCTTGAGATCATGGTGAAATATTTTGGATATATAAATTCCTTAAGCTATTGTAACCATGTTTTATTGCAAAGATGTAAAATATGCCAGATGTGTGTGAGTTGGAAATCAAAAAGAAAAATAAAATATGCAAAGAATTCAGTGATTGTTTTTCGTTTCAATGGACTTTTTGTCAAAGCATACGCATTATCATTAAGAACAATTATTTTAAGAAATCCTGTCTTACATGCTATGTATATGCCAAAAATTATGCATGCCTGGGGTGGATGTGTTTCCTGGTGTCTCAGGAAATAAAACAGGGGTTACAGGGTGTGTTTTGCAACTCTTTTGATTGTTGGTACATTAAGTGAAGCCACTAAAGATACTTTAATCAGCGGAAGTGAAAAATCAAAGCCTTTGAGGGATATTTAGGATCCTTTAGGATACGAGACAATAATCTTGTATAACAGACCTTGCAGAAAGGAAGGATCTGATGAGCATTATTTTGGGTGTCTGTCAATATCTGATAAGATGGAATCAATTTAATTTTATTTTGGGCATTGAAACTTCGATACCTACACTCCCTCCCTACACAGCAGAACCAAACAGGTGGGCTAATTTGCCTTTTGGAGATGCTGAGGTCCTTGCAAAGATCATACCAAAGACGTGGAGATAGATGGTTTTCGAGAACGTTATTAGAATACAGTATGCATTTTAGCAGTTATCTATTTATATCAATCAGCTTTTGAAGTGGATAACCTAACTTGATTGGTTTTGGGGATGGAGGAGAAATGGTGGAGGACATGAGAGGATTGGTATGTTAATAGTGGCATGTGAAACAGTTTATTGATATGTCACAGCCTCCATTCCATTATAATACAAGTATCACCCCTAATTTCATATTTTATTCAACAAATCGATTAAAAAAATGCACCATTGCAGTTAAACCAAAAATTAGTATTACTGTTATCAGAATTAATATTGTTGCTAGCATGCAGTCTCTTGGCATTATGTGAAGAACACTTCAGTCACAAATCAAAAGCTTCAGTGCCCTAGCAAACCTTTGTATGACAAACTGACCATGAAAAAAACAAAATCCTACTACATTGCATTCATAAGTAGTGGTACCTAAACAATTCAGACTCATACTAATAGTAGTACTAGTGGTAGTAGTAATAATAATGATAATGTGCCATCTCCATTATGGTTTAAGTTATAAAAACGGACTTTCCACAAAGGCATGGGACAAGGAGAGTGTATTAACAGGCTGGTATAGTCGCATAGACCAGCTTGATACAGTTTTTGTGATGTAACACCACTGTTGCCTTTTACTCTCTATTTGATTTCTGTTGTTCTAAGGAAAAAATCTTACAATCGTGCCATGAAGTCCTTTGCTGTTCTGTTGATTTTTACTGATTACATTAGTATACACCTATCTGTTGCAGGGTCTTATGTAAAAAGGCAACAGTTTAGCTGCCCCATTTCTGTCACACAGTAAATCTGGGTTGGCTCATTTTTTTTCTCTATAGAAATGAGAGTTACTGACTCCAGGGAGTCTCTGGAAGCTGCCTGTGGAAGATGAAGCAGCTTTTACCAAGCCGTTTAAATGCAACCAATTTCTCAGCTAAGGGAGATGAACCTTTAAGGATACAACTGTGCAACTAAAATGTCCCTAAATGAAAATAATGTGCAGTTATTGGCTGTGTTCCTGCCAGCCAGTCCTAGGTTAAGAACTGGACTATAAGCTAATGCCATACCAGGAGGAGAGTCCACAGTTGTGAGGCTTATTTCTTGTCCAGATCCTACCACTGCTGTGGAGGGTGAAGCTTTCTTTACAAGAGGAACAATAAAAGAAAGCCTGCTGCATTTTACCACAAGGAAAGACTAGTTAGGGTCAATCTACTGGAGGAGCCTGGGATAAGTGATGATTATGTTGATAATCTCATGGATTGTGCTTGTAGAGCTAAAAATGCTGCCCATGAACAACAGTTTCGGTGAATGCTTGTTATAATATAGTGCATCAACCCTGCTGACAAGCAAGCAGGATGTTTGAAGCAAGCTGCCAGGGATAAAAGGAGCCTGGAATAAGTGATGATTATGTTGATAGAGAATCTCATGGATTGTGCTTGTAGAGCTAAAAATGCTGCCCATGAACAACAGTTTCGGTGAATGCTTGTTATAATATAGTGCATCAACCCTGCTGACAAGCAAGCAGGATGTTTGAAGCAAGCTGCCAGGGATAAAAGCGTTCAAAGCAGACACAGGGAGCGAAAGGCTGGCTTCTGATAACAGCGAGAGAACCACCTCCTGATACAAGATGTCTAGTACATATAAATACTTCATTTGGAGATGTCTAGCTGGAGTTTATGCTCACAGTTTCCAAGGGTTTAATTGTGGACTGGTTTTATTTAGGCTTGTGTGTGTGTGTGTGTTATTGCAAATAGTAAAAATTGAATGGGATAAAACTTAAGCTGGTATTTAAAGAAGTAAAGAAGTACTGGAAATTTTTATGTCTGTACAATACAGTACAGTTTATAGACTCCCTAACCTCGGTGATTAGTCTTGCAACATCTGCAGTTAAGTTTCAAGATCTGCAACAGACAAGCAAAACAAGTCTGGAGATTGCTTTCTTGTAGAATTTATAAGCTGTGGCCATAGAATTAGTTTACAGAACTATTTACGTAGATGAAAATCTGCCAAACAGCTGACTCGGTTTATGGGTCCCTCTGTGGTGACATCATGCCTAAACAGCACTGCATCTCCACATCATCACTTAGAAGTAAGTCCTCTCTCAATTGCACCCCATTAGCCCAAACAAAAACCCGGGTAACTTACACGGTAACCTACGTGCAAAATTCGGATCCTGTAGTGCTTAGTATTAACGAAAGGATTGGCACAAGGTCTTTGTGTGCCTAAGGGCACCACAATGTCAAGCTACCTTCAGCCTAGCATTCCTAACGTCAAGCAGAGAATATGCTTTTATGTACAAAACTAGATAGGAAAGAAAAAAAATCTCCTCTGGTTCTAGAAGATTACAGACAGCTAAAAGCTATCAGCACCAGTGGATTTGACTTAAAAGTTTCATGTCTGTTTATACTTTTAAGAGACTTGGTTGTGGCAGGATGCTGCAATGACCAAGCCCTGCAGCAAAGCTAATCCCAGTGTCATAACTGTGCAAATTTAAGAATGATGCACTTAGTTTCCCTCACTGTGTAGCTGAAGTAGTGATTGCCAGAAAAGGCCGCAGAACAAATGAAAGTGGTCTTTCAGTCTCGCTGTACAGCTATACACATAAATCCAGTGCCCATGGCTGTTCAGATTAGTTTGTACAGAGCTAACAGGATATAAAATAGTGCGTGTGGCCGGTGTCCCTGCATGCACATCTTTTCAGACAATTATAATGAGGGGAAAAAAAAAAAAAAGACTGCTTCAGTAGGAAGGCAGAGCAGGACTCCGAGGAATAGGCCAGGGGTGTGAAAAAAAAGTCAGAGGGACACATTTTCTCTTCAGTGAAACACTTGATCCATTTCTTCCAAATAAGCCCTAACAGATTGTCCCAGTTCTGCTCCTGCAATATCTCTCCTACACATTCTGTCCCCCCTTGTTTTAACTTGACATAAAGAGCCAGCTGTAAGTTGGGTTTTCTCTCTCCAGCAACCATGTCCCTGCTGGTACCCAACACATGCCCCCAACTCCCCCTAACTGCCAGGGACAACTAAAGCAGGCAGCATAAAGCACACACGTGGGGCTCCAGAAGGCCCATACAATTCTCTTCTCCAACCTCCTTGCTGTCCCAGTGTGAGTTGCAGGAGGTAAAAACCTGAAATGAAAAGGGAATCCTATCTTTCAGCTGCCAATTCGAGCAGAACCAGCGGTCATGTGGGAGTATTATTCTCCTAGTAATTAACATAGGTCAAGGCCCTTCTCTGACCCGAAAGCAAGTGTCATGACAGCCTCTAGCCATGCCTCCAGACTCCCTGGAACCAACCCTTAACCCATCCTAGCCCATGCACACTGCAAGGCATTTGGAGAGGGATGGGTTAAAGACGTGCCTGTTACACCGTGCAGATGAGCACAGCACAGTCCCCAAGCCTGCACCGTCCAGTATAGACATAGCCAAGGCACCTACAAGGCCTCCCTTGGGCTCCATGATGATCAGCCTATCAACCACATCACACAGTCATGACAGATGGGGTTTAGGGCTCAGTAAGAACAACTCCCAGCTGCAAGCCTATGCACAAGGCTGCTCTATCCTATTCTAGCACTACACCCTAAGCCTGCATCTGTTGGATCACTGACTACAGCTACTGTAATAACTTACATGAAAAGTACTCAGCTCATTAAGACCTTGGTGCTTTTTGGCATGCTCAGACTCATGTTCCCCTTGCCTGCTGCCTTATGTATACCTTTACGTGAGGGAACATCAAGATTGACTGGAAAGAGCTTCTGCTCACTCTTTAGCTGTCAAGAGGTATGTGATCAGGGCCATTCCTTTAGAAAGCTCATTGACGCCAGCTTCAGATCCATGAAAACAGCTACCTTAGAAAGAGGTAATTAGCTACCATCACTGTTGCTATAACTTCCTCTGTTGTCTGCTGCTTACTGCAAAGGCTTATGCCTTGACTTAGTAAATCCCTCACTGGTAAGAAATTGTATCGTGGGAGATAAGCCTGCTAGGCAGACACCTACTGCAGCACTTATGGATGTCAGGTGGGAAGGATTCCGCCGGGACATAAAACTCCAGACATGCAATGAATGAATATGGGTCCAGTGCAAGAGCTGGCTACAGATAGTGTACTCATGTACACCTCATTCCATGTAGGCTGGGTTTAGTGTCCCAAGGGGTGCTGGTCTTTCTCCTCTGATGGATGATCTAGCCAGTACAAGTCAGGAATACCTTCTAATTTCCATGGCAGTCCATAATGAATGTGATGAGGCAGCACATACACAGCTAGAGAACTCAAGGGTTATGGTTTTTTGCAAAGTACCATCTGTTAATGGAGGGAGGGGTGAAAGGGTGGGTTTTGAATGCACATAAGTATAAAAAACTTGAAAAGAAGTTTGCTTGCCTGCAACTCTTCCTCAAGAGAAGTTGCCTATAGAGACATTTTCACCCTACTGTTCAACTGCTCTCTCCCCAGTCTTTCACTGTTTCC